AAATTAAGATCAAGATGAGAGCACGATAAATAGAGCAATCACTGAAAGTTGGGTCTATTTATATATATTTAATATGAACCAACAAAAAATATATCAAAATTAGACAAAAGGAATAATGGAGAAACTGGGATAGATATGTAGATAAATAAAAAAATTAAATTCAATAGTTGACAGAAATGAATAATGAAATACTGCAACGATAAATATAGCAATCAATAAATGAAAAAAATAAAGAAAGAAAGAATGCAAGATGGAAGAATGCAAGATGGAAGAAAGGAAAGTAAGCAGGAAATGAAAACAATCATCAGACAAGTAAAACAAATGACGGATTGGCAGAAATGAATAATGAATGACAACAAGAATGAATCGGTCAATCGACATTAAAAGAAAAAAACAAACATTGACTAAAATGTATTTAAATAAAAGAGTATAACTCCTACAAAAAAATGAAATAGCGAAAAGAAGAGAAAACCACGGTTAACATATTAACAATGTTGGTCAAAACCAGTGATAAAAGATGGCGGCTTCCTCTTGTTGCCAATGTTCTCCAAAATGACAGTTAAACAATAGACGTGTGAAACGAGACAGATTGATGATGTTATTATAAGCATTATCAAATAACTCACGTCGGGGAAAAAAGATTCCACAAGAATGGATGCGGTGTTAATAGTATTAATAGGAAAAAGGATTCGTAAACATTGTATACGATGATATTATGAAATTAGATTTAGAAATTGTTGGGACAAAATAGAAAGGTCAGTTCGTTTCGATTACAGAGAATACAGAATATAATAATAACAGAAAAAATATAAGGAACTTACTACTACTACTATTATTACTACTACTACTACGAATAATAATAATAATAATAATAATAATAACGATAATAATTGTAACGATAATAATGAATTCCGCGTTTGTTTAAAATGGGAAGTCTACAAATTTAGGAGAATAAAGTAAGTGGAAGTCGCTCCCATTGTTATTGGTTTCCGTAGCAACGTAAGTACTGAACTACAAAAGTGATGTAGAAAATTGTGACCATTTTTAATTTTAAAAATTTACAGGAGAGTTGACACGTTCGGAATGCTCGCAGACACCTATAAGTTAAAGAATCATAAGGGAAATGATGTCTGTAGCTCAAACACCGGCTTTCAAATGGAGTTTGTCGATCCGGTTAGCTTTCAGCGGATTTTGAAATGTACCCTTTAATTCATCGACGAAATAATTATATCCACATTGATAAAATAAAGTTTTCACTTTTAAATTCCTTGAGGTTTATCCGGATAGGCAAACACGCGATGGAGGCTGGAAGGCAAAATGGCCGAAATGTTGTCCAAACTATTGTTAATATAATAACAATTATGTGGATTACAGTCAAACTATAAATAGTGTAATTATTATTATTATTATTATTATTATTATTATTATTATTATTATTACTACTACTATTATTAACATTATTATTATTACTACTACTACTACTACTACTATTATTAACATTATTATTATTATTATTATTATTAATAATAATAATAATAATAATAATAATAATAATAATAATAATAATGTAAAACGTCTATGATTTCCTTTTTCCTTTTTTTTTTATAAAATTACTCAGTGGAGACTGTCATGATACCATTTCTAACCTTAGGTCTCTGGACAGGACCCAAATGAAATTAGTATACACCATAAATAAAAGGAAAAACAATAATCAGATTGAGATAGGAAAAGATTTATATATATATATATATATATATATATATATATATATATATATATATATATATATATATATATATATATATATTTCTTTCCCATTTCCATCAGATTAGTATATATATATATATTCAATTTGCCTAATAGCTAATGTTAATGCTGTTTATTTTACTATGTTCCATACTTTATATTATAAAAATTATATATGAAAAAAGTTTGCCGGTGTCAAAAAAAAGACCGAGATTAAATTCGCTTTTTTAAAAAAAATTGAAAATACTTAGAGTTACATACATTATTCATTCTATGACGATCCAGGCTATAATAGTAAATGATACAGACAACTCTCTCGTCATGTATATATATATATATATATATATATATATATATATATATATATATATATATATATATATATATATGTGTGTGTGTGTGTGTGTTTGTGTGTGTGTATGCGTGTGCGTGTGTGTGTGTGTGTAAGAGAGAGAGAGAGATAGAGGAGGGAGAAAGAGAGAGCCAAGCAGAGATAGAGTGAAAGTGAAACAAATAGAACGCGAGAATGAATGAAGAAACTGGGCAGTCTTTAACAAATGCATTTTCAATTTCATTACCCTTAAACAATTTGATGTTTGAGCCAATCAGCACAGATTGATTAGTTGAAATAAAGTGTGATGAATATATTTCAACTTGTTAAGACACATTCCAAAACTGTCTGATCAAAATAAAACGAATGTCTATAAGCTCTCTGGTTTAGAATTTGATCATGATTTTTTACCAGTTGAAATGTAAAGAAAGAAAATAAAGCTCCTCGTCCACTCCGGCCCAGTGTTGTAACCATTTAGCGATCCAAACGTCTGCTTCATAATTTAAAAGCTATTCTCCAAATTCAAGTAATTTTTATTTCCATGTTTTTATTATCCTACATTTTATGGCATTTTAATTTATTTGTCACTTTTTTTCAATATTTTTTGGTGATGATATTTTTATGCAGCTGTGAGAGACATCGAAAAATTCCTGTTGGCCCGTAGAACCGCTTTTAACAACAGCGATGTTATTTGCTGACAACTTCGTCTGACGGTTACAGCAAGTGAGTTATTTGCTCCATTTGCGTTGAGTGAGTAAAAATTAAACAAATATTTAATAATAAACAAGAAAAATTATATTATTATTAATATTATTATTATTATTATTATATTTTCCTTTTTGTTCATTCTTGTTTTATACATTTGAATGTTCATAGCAGATGTCTATTCGTTCACGTTGGGGAATGAGTGACAACAATTCGTCCCAAATTTAGAATACATTTCTCTGTATCATCCCTTGTTTAGATATTTACGGCTGAAGGCACCGTCAATTGTACAAAGCAAGTTTTCAAGCCTAAAAATATATTTCCAAAACCATGGGTCGGCTTATTTTGCGGGGAAATAATGCAAAACTTTACTATCAAGTTATAAACCGGTGGAACATCACACCTAACAATTCCTGTATACCTCTTACCGTACCACTCGCAGGCTGCCACAAATATATCCCAGTAAAATGTGTGGTCGGTGAACATATTTCAGATATTAACACAGTTATACCGCTACAATAAACGGTACCAATACAATATATGGTACCTACGGGTGTGTATGTTGTAGGTTGTTTGCTGTATAATACATACAGAAATATACAGGAATGTGGGGTGAACTTCTGTAGTTTTGGCACAGGTTATTGTCCTAACTTCATTTAACGGTAGGTCTAAGTTTTAGGTAACTGGTATCCTACAGTATGTTTGGGGGTCGACCTATACGGTAGATATAGGTATATGTCTTGAGGTCGACTTGTATGTCATGTCGATTTGTACACTGCAATATACAATAGCAGAATGACCACAGTGTATCTCTAAGTGAGCAAATAAGTATTTCCGGTCATGTACTGACATGCGTATATCATCCGTTCTATTGAGACGCGGCTGAGATGTGTCAATCATCGCCATTGTTGATTGATTGATTTTTACGGTTTATCAACCTTTTATAGATAAAATAAAACCGAAACATTTCATATTGTATGAGTCTGCTTATACTGAACTCGATTTTACATAACCTCGGTGATATCCTGAGAACCGCCCTTTTCAGCGTGGACTTACCGTTAGCCAATTGCCTAGAAATAGAAGTTAACCATGATCATGTCATACGGTCGGCGACAAACAAGTGTGAAGAAATCAAGTGTTTATTTGGGGACGATGTTCAGTGAATTATAAGAAGTGCACGATGAAACAAGAAGCAGGCAACTCAAACACCAGATTCAGATCAAAGACATCGATCCCGGCCCGAAGCAATGCGATGTCTAGCCACACTGATTAGCTGTGATACAGCGAAACAGGCTTGTATATGGATGACTATATATATATATATATATATATATATATATATATATATATATATATATAATCGACTCTCCGTCGAGACTCAAACATATGAGGTTCAAGAAGATCAGTTTCAGAAACCGACAGCCCGACACCGGCACATGAGATTTGATTATATTGGTGAAGGCCTTTGCAGGACCATCCACACTTTTGAAGGGACGAATACAGGGATATATATATATATATATATATATATATATATATATATATATATATAATATATATAATTGGAGTGACCTTATGTAATTTGTTACACATTATCGTATACGATGCACTAATTTAATTTACCGGTAGTCCTAAGTTTTGGAACACTGTTTGGCTACCGTTTTTTTTATTTATTGGTCTAAATCAGAATTTTGAGATAAATGTCTTGGGGTCGACTTGTACGCCAACATTTGCGGTAATGAAATAACCACAGTGATTCGCTGATCTAGTGAGATAAGTAAATATTTCTTTCACGTACCCATTTGTTGAGATGCTGGCCAGATGATTCAATCATTGCCGTTTTTGATTGAACGATTGATTTTTGTACCGCTTATAAAGAATTTCGTTTCATTTAAAGATGAAACATATTAAAAGGAGAAATATAATATTGAATTAATAAATTATTAATAAAATCCAATTTTTATTTGTTTAAAATTAAAAGTAGACAAAGGTCCGGATTACATTAGAAAAAAAAGACGTAACTTCGTATAACACTCGATTGGAAAGGTAAACTTATTATCGGTGACCTCTGAAGCCATAAACATCTCTAATGTGACAATATAAAATATGGTTAATGATGATTTGAATTCATGTTGTTTTCTCTTTCCTGGTACATGGCAACAAATATAACGTTAGATTTTCATTTCGTAATGACTTTTTCGTAATTACTAAGATGGAG